CGATTTTTCGATTAGCCAATTATGCGATGTTTCGATTTTTCAATTTTTCTGTTTCCCAATTTTTCAACAGATTTGAGATTCTTTATTTTTTTTATCTCTCCATTTTTGGTTTTTTGTTAATTTTAAATTTTGATTTTTTTCAATTTCACATTTCATTGATGTTTTGATTTCCCGATTTAAAAATTTTTTAATGTTTCAATTTTTCGACTCTTCGGTTTTTCTATTGTTCAAAATTTTTGAACGTTGAGATTTTTCAATTTCTCAATTATTCAACATTTCAATTTTGGGATTTTTTTATTTTCTATATAGAAATAATATAATAATCACCTACAATTCAATAAAATGGCGTTAAAGATATCAAATAAGTATATTTCTAATTTTAGTTTTATCTCCGGAATTCATTGAAAGTTTTCTTCGATTTCGGATTCAGCTGCGATTCAATCGTACATTTCGATAAAAAATCGTAATTGCAACCAGCCATTAATTGACCAATCAAAATCGTCGCACTAAAACGCACCACTCCGCTGAAACCCCACATCCAAACTTTACCTTCCACCGCCAACTTCCCCGAGGAAGTTAAAAACGACCTAAAAATAACTTTTCTCTTTTATTTTCTCCTCTCCGCTCTCTCGGAAACAATTCCTTTCAACTTCGCGTGCAAGCTCCCAGTGCATCGAATCGTCAACGTCATTCACTCGAAAAACTTGCAAAACCATTAACAAAGCAGTGACAAGTCTTTTATTCTCGATGCATGTGGGAGGGACCTCGTGTTATTCCGACATCTGAACGACAATAAAGAGGAAACGGACAATAACAAAAATCGGCCTTTGTGTCGGTATTTTTGCGAAAAACACCGCGCCAGATATTGCATATAAAGGTGACTGAGGACATCCGAATCGTAAATCATATTTTTTAAAACAATAAAATTTTTAATGCCTTTCTCGTCTAGACTAATCACGCCTGTTTGCGCGCTGGCCCGCAATCCCGACACGCCGAAAACACGCCGCCGACCGCATACAGGGTGTTCGCTAAATTTGACATTCATTAAAAAAAACTAAAAATTTACAAATTTACGCATGCGTGAACATGGCGCAGTCACCAGTAAGATTAAAAAATTGGTCTAAAGAGTTTAGACAGTACTTCCCTCGCTATCGGAAACTTGACGACTGCATGCCTATTGTGTTTTTTTTCTCATTACATTTTTGTAGTGCGAATTTAAAAAAAAATTGCGATGACGTCATCAACATTTTTGCAAGGACACGTATATCAGTTGGGATAGATGTAGTGTAATACTAAGAATAAAATTATTATATTCTCAAATTTTCGGGAAAATGAATTGGGTCGTTTTGAATATTGATTTGTAATAATCAATAAAATAACGAAACAATTTACTCACGTATACGTATCAGAGGCAACTGAAAATCGTGTATGTATAAACATTCTTAATTTAAGATGACAGGCGTAACAGCATACGTGAGAGTCAAACAGAGAAACTGTAAACAAAACGACCATCGGTTTTATTGCTTCGACTTCCGCTTATTATATAAAACATTGGGTTTTATTTTAATTCTTGACGGTGAAATTCACAATTGGTTGATTATAAACATGTCTATTTCACATTCGCGGAACCAAGTGAGCGCATAAAACAAATGCAGGTCTATAATGTTAAAGTCGATGTAAATAAGCGTGCAACCCTTATGTTTCAACCGAGTTTTTCCTTTAACAAATTTTGTGTCTACCAAATTGGGTTGGTTGGGGTGTAATACTAATAATAAGTGTTGCCTTTAATTTAATCAATAAAATAAATTGACTTCATTAATTTTTTTGAACCACCTCTTAAGAAAATCTAAAAAATATGAATGGAATGATAAATCACAAGTACAAACTCATCACATTTTTTGCATTTTAGATAGGATTTATTCAGCAAAATTTAAGGGTGACGTCATCAATTTTTTTAGGAGGGATGAACAAATACATTTTGAACAAAAGTTTACCATACTTATAATAACTTTAAAATATTCCCAAGATTTCAAAGCATTCGGTTTTGTAGTTCCTGATTAAATCAATAAAATAAATTTACGCATTCATTAATTTTTTTGAGTCACCCTGTATATGCAAATCGAAAAAATTTGAATGGAATGATAAATCACAAGAAGAGACTCACCATATTTTGTACATTTTAGATAGGATTTATTCAGCAAAATTTTGTGGTGACATCATAAATTTTTTAGGGGGGACGACCAAATACGTTTTGATCAAAAATTTACCATGCTTATGATAATTTTAAAATATCTTCAAGATTTCGAAGCATTCGGTTTTGTAGTTCCTGAGTAAATCAGTAAAATAAATTTACGCTTTCATTTATTTTCTTGAATCACCCTGTATATGCAAATCCAAAAAATATGAATGGAGTGATAGATCACAAGTACAGACTGATCATATTTTGTACATTTTAGATATGATTTATTCGGCAAACTTTCGAGCTGACGTCACTGAAGTCGAGAAATTGTAAAATTGAAAAATCAAAAATAAAAAACGAAAAATTACAAAATGAAAACTTGAAAAATCTTAAGAACCAAAAAAGAACAATTCGAAAATCAAAAACTTAAAAATCGAAAAACTGAAAAATCGACAAATCGAAACTCCAGAATTTAAAAAAATTGAAAAATCGGATAACTGAAAAATCGAAACATCGAAAAATTGGAAAATCCAAAAATCGAAACATCGAGAAATAGAAAAAAATTAAGAAATTGATAAATTGAGAAATTGAGCAATCAAAACATCCAAACATCTGAATTCGATAAATCGAGAAATAAAAAAAAATGAAAAATTTTAATAAAGAAAAATTGAAACATCGAAAAGTTGAAAAAAAAAATCGAAGTATAAAACTGTCGAAAATTTGAGAAATCTACAGTTTAACGAAAAATTGAAAATCCAAAAAGTTAAAAAGGAGTGGAAACCCAAAAACTGCAAACTGAAAAATTTAAAAATCGGAAAATCGACGAATTGGAATCGATTGGCCTGAAAATTTGAAAAATTGAATAAACGAAAAAAAATTGTGATATAAAATCAAGAAAATGAAAAATAAAAAGTCAGGAAAAACTAAATTCCGCCCTGCAGCTCACGATTCATCACAATAGAGAAGGGGTGGGTGGGCGGGGCTTATAAATTGTCCATTTTTGCTTAATATATAAATTCTTCTTTCCCAACAAGAAATTGACAATATATTTAACTATCCTGTTGTTGAGAGAAAATTCTCTATATTAAAAAAAGCAAAAACTAAGCCCCACCCACCTACCCCGATCTCAATTATAATGAGTTTTTCGTTCGTAATCAGACGAGGGGCGGAGTTTAATTGTACCATTAATATTTCTCTAGAAAATTCTATCGTTTTGAAAACATATTTCATATGGTAACTTCTTGTATAAAGAAATGAGAATTTTGTAACTAAACTTCACCCTTCAGCTCACGATGAATAAAGCATTCATCACAATGTGTGTGGGTGGGTGGGCGGGGTTTATATTTTGTCCATTTTTGCTTAATATATGAAGTCTTCTTTTCCCAACAAGAATCTGACAATATATTTAACTATCCTGTTGTTGAGAGAAAATTTTCTATATTAAAAAATAAAGCAAAAATTAATCCCCACCCGCCCACCCCGATCTCAATTATGATGTGTTTTTCATTTCTAATTAGACCGAAGCGCAGACTTTAATTGTAAGATCAATATTTCTCTAAAAAATTCTACCATTTAAAAAACATATTTAATATGGTAACTTCTTGCAAAGAAATGACGATTTTGCAATTAAACTCCGCCCATCAGCTCACGATGAATAAAGTATTCATCACAATTGAGAAGGGGTGGGTGGGCGGGGCTTATATTTTGTCCATTTTGTCTTAATATACGAAACCTTCTTTTCCCAACAAGAAAGTGACAATATATTTAACTATCCTGTAGAAAATTCTATATATTAAAAAAAAACAAAACAAAATTAAGCCCCACCCGCCCACCCGGATCTCAATTGTAATGAATTTTTCATTCGTTGTTAGACCGAGGGGCGGAGCGTAACTGCAAAATAAATATTTCTCTATTGATTTGAATGAGTTTGTCTTCTCGAAACATTTATTATGCTCTTTATGACCTTAAAACATCTGCAAGATTTCAGAGCATTCGGTTTTGTAGTTCCTGATTAAATCAATAAAATATATTTACGCATTCATTATTTTTTTTGAGTCACCCTGTATATGCAAATCCAAAAAATATGAATGGAGTGATAGATCACAAGTACAGACTTATCATATTTTGTACATTTTAGATATGATTTATTCCACAAACTTTTGAGCTGACGTCATCAAGTTTTTGGAGGGGATAAGCAAATATTTTTTGACTAAAGATTTATGATGCTCTTTATAGCCTTAAAACATCTGCAACATTTCAAAGCATTCTGGTTAGCAGATTAAAAATTAAATTTCAAAATGTTGTTTTATAATTTTGATTTTTTTTCCAAAAATCTGGACGTTTCGGGTGAAAAGTCGATTCAGAGTTGTAAACTACATGTTGTAGGACTATGTTATTTTATACAATTGAAAACCCATTTACTATGTACAATTTTGAAGTGACGTCATCGCATTAGTGGTGGGGATGATTAGACAAATTTTGGTTAGCGTTTTACCATCTACATGATATTCTTAATATAAGTACAAAATTTCACAACAATCGGTCGAGTACTTTCGGAGATTATCTGTCTAATAAAAATCCGGGACGGCAGACGGACAGACGGACAGACGGACGGACAGACGGACGGACAGACGGACAGACGGACGGACAGACGGACAGACGGACAGACAGACGGAAATGGGAGACCTATTTCTTCGTCTTCTAGGGGTCACGAAAGATCGAGAAAACGTAAAAGTAGAGAGTCGGCCGACGGACTCGATTACAATACTTCCTTTGCTTACGCTCGGGAAGTAAAAACTATAGTCATTTTTTTTTTCGATAGGTCTCCACCATGAAGTGCACCTCCATGAAACTGTCCACCCGCCAGGACCATCCAGGCACCCATCGTGCCCTCCACAAGGAGAACCACCCAGCGTTCGCAGGTGAAAACGGCCACAGGTGCCACAGCCCCCCGTTTCCATACACTTTAACAATTTCTTGTTTGCAGCTACTCGTTTCCGTTCTCGCGCCCCAAAACCACCCCCGACACCTCCACGACGCTCACCATCACCACCATCAACCTCCCCGACAACCTCCAGTGCTTCAACACCGGTTCTTCGCTCGACAAGTGGTCCAAAAAACGCACTCGACTGAAGTCGGCCAAAATTTCCAAAACCCCGACTGAGTTCGACAAGGATTTCTGCTACGAAACCCTCGAGACTGACCTGTCTATTCTTCTGAACGACCCAGAGGACGGAGCAAGGTCTAGGTCCGGGTCTTTGGATAATCTTCACTATGAAGTGCACTCAGACATCGAGAAGTTGTTGGAGGAGACGCGCAGGAGCGTGGAGGAGGAGGACCAAGTGGGGGAGAGAAGACGCAAGAAACGAGGGAAAGGGAGGAAGAAGAAAGTGAAGATGATAAGGTTTTCGAAGACACCGAGTCCGCAGACGGAGCAAGTGATAAGAGTGGATGTGACGTCGAACGTGTCGGCGAACGACGATAGAAGAAGAACCGTGGAAATTGCGAAATTGGAGGAGGAGGAATGTGCGAAAAGGGATGAAATTGACGTGGAGAGGAAAAACCTGGAGGAAAACGCGGTGGAAATGTGTGACGAAGAGTTCATAGTTAGGTGCAGGCAATTAGCACTAAGACAAAGGAGGAGCAAGAGGCTGAGATAATTTCACCTCCAAGACAAATTAATTATTGTTATTATTCTAAGATAATTTTAATGTCCATGTTTTCCTTGTACTTATTTTTATTCTCAGAAATATAACTGATTACCCATAGTGGTTTGCAGCGCCTCTAGTGGACGCTCGGTTCGCAAAATGGCTAATCGCCGTTTTTTATCTCAATGGCAACAGTTCTCCCAGACGCCGATAATTAATTTCGTGTCGCGCTGTTGACAGTCTTCAGATTCCGTCCAGATAATGTCTGAGTATGGGAGAGGAGCGAGCGGTCATATTTTATTGTTTCGTTTCGTTGACGTAAGAGTAAAGTTTGTTGGGACCCAGTTTTTGCCGAGTTGTATACAAAAATGAATGGGATTCATCCTTTACCTTCATTGGGAGAGGTCGGGATCGAAGTTTCAGGACCGGAGCGGTCGCGTGTGGCGCCCGCTCTAATATTGCCGCGTCTATCTTGCACTTTTTGTCCTACTTTTCGCGTTTTTTGCGCCAGGCTCCGGCCTAATTAGAGATTTACCTGATTGTGGACCGGCCTGGGGGGTTATTGTTGAGGTTTGTGGCTTAAATTGGCCTCGGTAATGCGGATAAAAGCGCTTGCGGTGTGGAAGTCGGCATGCGAATTAAATCTAATTTTAAGAGCATCTGGCGGGTGATGAAGGAAGTGGAAGAATGGACATTTTCCGTTATGATAGGTGGAATTAATTCGTCTACTATGAGTTCTAGAAAAATTGGGCTGAAGGAAGATTTTGTCGATGAAGTATTGAGATAACGTCATCTTAGAATTCATTCTAAAATAAAAATAAAGGACCCTTAAGTTTCCACTGATTTTTTTCTAAAATTAAATAAAGGACAACAAGTCACCACAGGCCCTCAAAATTCTTTCAAATTTTTTCGAGATTCTACGATTTTTTTAATCAAATGCCAGAAATCCGTCAAGATTATGTTAGATGTTTTCGAAAACACCAGGAACTCTTAAGATTCTTTCAAAAACAAGGCATCAGGGACTCTGAAGATTCTCTAGAATTATTTCTAAAACACATCTCTGAGATTTTCCCACTCATTTCAAAAACAAGATATCAAGTACCTGCACGATTCTTTAAAATTAGTTCAAAAACAAAACTAAGATTCTCAAGATACTACCAAATTATTTCCAAAAGGAAACACCAGAATCACCAGATTCTTCCAGTTTTTTTTTCAACAGAAAGACATTACTGATACCAACATTCCTTCAAAATCTAAAAAAAAAAGTACAACTGAGCCGTTAAAATTCTAAATTTTTCCGAAAACAAGAAGCAAAACACCAAGGTACAAGATTCGCAAGGTTTTTTAAGTTTCTTTCAAAAACCAGATGTTAGAGGCTCCAAAGATTCCCACAATTCTTCTACTTCTTTCGAAAACAAGATACAAGATCGACAAGATTCTATCAAATCTTTTCAAAAACACGACGTCAACACCCTCAAGATTCTCTCGAATTAGTTCTAAAAACAAAAAACACCAGGGATCCCAAGATTCTTTCAGTTCTTTCAAAAACAAGAAATACTAATAATTACAAGATTCCTTCAAAATCTTTCAAAAACAAAATACAACTGGGCTGTAAAAATTCTATTAAATTTTTCTGAAAGCAGAACTCTCAACATTCTTCCAAATTCTTTCAAAAACTAGAGATCAAGAACTCTAAAATTCTTTCTTAAACAAAACATCAGGAATCTCCAAAATTCTTCTATTTCCTTTAGAAATAAAGGTACAAGATCCACAAAATTCTTTCAATTTCTTTCAAAAACCAGATTTCGAGGGCCCAAAGATTCTCTCAAATTAGTTCTAAAGCAAAGCATCAGATTTTCCCAAAATTCTTCTACTTCTTTCGAAAACAAGATGCAAGATCTACAAGATTCTATCAAATCTTTTCAAAAACACGACGTCAACACATCCAAGATTCTCTAGTAGTTCTAAAACCAAAAAACACCAGAAATTTCCAAGATTCTTCTAGTTCTTTCAAAAACAAAATACACTGATTTCAAGATTCCTAAAAATCTTTCAAAAACCAAATACAAGTGGACCGTCAAAATTATATTAAATTTTTCAGAAAGCAAGACACCAAGAGCCCTCAAGATTCTTCCAGGGTCTTTCTAAAACTAGATATTAAGAACTCCAAAGATTCTCTAAAGTTATTTCTAAACCAAATATCAGGAATCTCCGCAATTCTTCTATTTCTTTTAGAATTAAAGAAGAGAGTCTTTAAATTTCTTAAAAAAAAATGTCAGGAGCCTCAAAGATCCTCTCAAATTAGTTCTAAAACAAAGCACTAGAAGTAGATTCCTAAAATTCTTCTACTTCATTCGAAAACAAGTTACAAGATCGACAAGATTCTATCAAATTTTTTCAAAAAAACGAAGTCAACACACTAAAGGTTCTCTCGATTTAGTTTTCAAACCAGAAAACACCAAGGATCACCAAGATTCTTCCAGTTCTTTCAAAAACAAGACACACTGATTCCAAGATTTCTTCAAAATATTTGAAAAACCAAATACAAATGGATCTTCAAAATTCTATTAAATTTTTCCGAAAGCAAGACACCAAGAGCCCTCAAGATTCTTCCAGGTTCTTTCAAAAACTAGACATCAAGAATCTCCGCAATTCTTCAATTTCTTTAAAAAATGATACAAGATCCACGAGATTCTTTGAATTTCTTTCAAAAACCAGATGTCAGGGGCCTTAAAGATCCTCTCAAATTAGTTTTAAGACATAGCACTAGAGATTCCCAAAATTCTTCTATTTCTTTCGAAAACAAGATTCACGATCGACAAGATTTTATCAAATCTTTTCAAACATACCACGTCCACACACCCAAGATTGTCTAGAAATAGTTCTAAAACCAAAAAACACCAGGGATTCCAAAATTCTTCTAGTTCTTTCAAAAACAAGATACACTGATTCCAAGATTCCTCGAAATCTTTCAAAAACCAAATACAAGTGGGCCGTCAAAATTATATTAAATTTTTCAGAAAGTAAGACACCAGGAGCCCCCAAGATTCTTCCAGGTTCTTCCAAAAACTAGGTATTAAGCACTCCAAAGATTCTCTAAAGTTATTTTTAAACCAAACATCAGGAATCTCCACAATTCACCTATTTCCTTTAGAAAAAAAGATACAAGATCCACAAGATTCTTTAAATTTCTTAAAAAAAAATGTCAGGAGCCTCAAAGATTCTCTCAAATTAGTTCTAAAGCAAAGCACTAGAAGTAGATTCCTAAAATTCTTCTACTTCATTCGAAAACAAGTTACAAGATCGACAAGATTCTATCAAATTTTTTCAAAAAAACGAAGTCAACACACTAAAGGTTCTCTCGATTTAGTTTTCAAACCAGAAAACACCAAGGATCACCAAGATTCTTCCAGTTCTTTCAAAAACAAGATTCCAAGATTTCTTCAAAATATTTCAAAAACCAAATCCAAGTGGATCGTCAAAATTCTATTAAATTTTTCCGAAAGCAAGACATCAAGAGCTCTCAAGATTCTTCCAAATTCTTTCAAAAACTAGACATCAAGAATCTCCGCAATTCTTCTACTTCTTAAAAAAATGATAGAAGATCCACGAGATTCTTTGAATTTCTTTGAAAAACCAGATGTCAGAGACCTTAAAGATCCTCTCAAATTAGTTCTAAGGTAAAGCACCAGAGATTCCCAAAATTCTTCTACTTTTTTCGAAAACCAAGATTTTGTCAACTCTTTTCAAAAACACAACGTCAACACACCCAAGATTCTCTAGAATTAATTCTAAAACCAAAAAACACCAGGGATTCCAAAATTCTTCTAGTTCTTTCAAAAACCAAATATAAGTGGGGTGTCAAAATTATATTAAATTTTGCAGAAAGCAAGACACCAAAAGCGCCCAAGGTTCTTCCAGGTTCTTTCAAACACTAGATATTAAGAACTCCAAAGATTCTCTAAAGTTATTTTTAAACCAAACATCAGGAATCTCCGCAATTCTTCTATTTCCTTTAGAAAAAAAGATGCAAGATCCACAAGAGTCATTAAATTTCTTTCAAAAACCAAATGTCAGGGAGCCTCAAAGATCCTCTCAAATTAGTTCTAAGTCTAGAACGAGATCCCTAAAATTCTTCTACTTCATTCGAAAACAAGATACAAGATCGACAAGATTCTATCAAATCTTTTCAAAAACACGACGTCAAAACCCCCAAGATTTTCTCAAATTAGTTCTAAAAACAAAAAGGACACCATACATCCCAAGATTCATCCAAATCTTTCAAAAAGAAGGTGCTACTGATTCCAAAATTCCTTCAAAGTCTTTCAAAAAAAAAAACACAAAGTGGGCCGTCAAGATTATATTAAATTTTTTCGAAAACAAGACACCAAGAGACTCTAAGATTCTTCCAAATTCTGTTAAAAATGAGACATCAGAGACTACAAAGATTGTCTCAAATTAGTTCTAAAACCAAACACCAGGAATCTCGGAAATTTTTCTATATCTTTCAGAAACAAGATACAAGATCCATAAGATTCTTTACATTTCTTTCGAAAACCAGATGTTAAAGTCCCCAAAGATTCTCTCAAATTAGTTTCAAAAACAAAAAAATACACCATGGATTCCAAGAGTCTTCCAGTTATTTCAAAAACAAGATACTACCGATCCCAAAATTCCTTCAAAATCTTTCAAAAACAAAACACAAGTGGGCCGTCAAGATTCTATTAATTTTTTCCAAAAACAAGACACCACGAACCACAAATTTTTTTTCAAATACTTTCCACAACAAATTTTCTCAAAAACCATTTCTCAGGAACCACAAAGATTCTCTCAAATTAGTTCTAAAACGAAAAATCTCCGAAATTCTTCTGTCTTTCAAAAACAAGTTACAAAATCCACAAGATTCTTTCCATTTCTTTTGAAAACCAGATATTAAGAGCCCCAAAGATCCTATTAAATTAGTTCTAAAAATAGGCACCAGAGATTCCCGAAATTCTTCTACTTCTGTCGAAAACAAGATACAAGATCTGTAAAATCTTTTTAAAAACACAACGTCAGCACTCCCAAGATTTTCTCAAATTAATTCTAAAAACAAAAAAAAAAACACCATGGATCCCAAG